TGGCAATGGCAATGGCAATGGCAATGGCAATGGCAATGGCAATGGCAATGGCAATGGCAATGGCAATGGATGGTAATGGTAATGGTAATGGTAATGGTAATGGTAATGGTAATGGTAATGGTAATGGTAATGGTAATGGTAATGGTAATGGTAATGGTAATGGTAATGGTAATGGTAATGGTAATGGTAATGGTAATGGTAATGGTAATGGTAATGGTAATGGTAATGGTAATGGTAATGGTAATGGTAATGGTAATGGTAATGGTAATGGTAATGGTAATGGTAAGGGTAAGGGTAATGGTAATGGTAATGGTAATGGTAATGGTATTGGCAATGGGAATGGGAATGGCAATGGCAATGACAATGGCAATTGTAATGGCCATGGTAATGGTAATGGTAATGGTAAAGGTAATGGTAATGGTATTGGGAATGGGAATGGGAATGGGAATGGGAATAAGAATGGACTGGCAATGGCAATTGTACTGGTACTGGCAATGGCAATGGTAGTGGGAATGGGAATGGGAATGGGAAATGGTAACGGTAAAGGTAATGGTAATGGTAGTGGTAGTTGTAGTGGTAGTGGCAATGGTAATGGTAATGGTAATGGTAATGGAAATGGTAATGGTAATGGTAAGGGTAATGATGAGGAGCAACGTGAAAGATCGTAAAAACTCGTCTGGAACCCACAGCGACTCCACAATCCCCCAGCCTCTCCTCCTCCTCTCCTCCTCCTCCTCCTCCTCCTCCTCCTCCTCCTCCTCCTCCCCCTCCTCCTCCACCTCACCTCCTCCTCCTCCTCCTCTTCCTCTTCCTCCTCCTCCTCCTCCTCTTCCTCCTCCTCCTCCTCATCTTCCCTGCTCCCGTCACCCCCCTCGCTTTGGCACACCCCTCACACGCTTCGTGGCCCCATAGGGAGCTCTACCGAAGGCCCCAGTGCCACCGTTCACATGCGTCCCCCACACCCATTTCAACACACGTCTCACACGCCTCGTGTCCCCCTCACACGTAGGGTGCTCCACCGAAGGCCACAGAACCACCGTCCTCATGCGTTCCCCACACCCATGTTGGCACATACCCCTCACACGCTTCGTGACCCCATAGGGAGCTCCGCCGAAGGCCCCAGTGCCACCGGCCACATGCGTCCCCCACACCCATGTTGGCACACCCCTCACACGCTTCGTGGCCCGACAGGAAGCACACCGAAGGCCCCAGTGCCACCGTCCACATGCGTCCCCCACACCCATTTCGACACCCCACCCACACGCTTCGTGGCCACATAGGGAGCTCCACCGAAGGCCAGCACACCCCTCACACGATTGGTGGCCCCATATGGGAGCTCCACCGCAGGCCTCAGCGCCACCGGCCACATGCGTCCCCCTCACCTCTTCCGACACACCCATCACACGCTTCGTGGCCCCATAGGGAGCTCCACCGAAGGCCCCAGTGCCACCGTCCACTTGCGCCCCCCACACCCATTTCAGCACACGTCTCACACGCTTCGTGGTCCCATAGGGAGCTCCACCGAAGGCCCCAATGCCACCGTTCACATGCGTCCCCCACACCCATTTCGGCACACCTCTCACACGCTTCGTGGCCCCATAGGGAGCTCCACCGAAGGCCCCAGTGCCACCGTCCACATGCGTCCCCCACACCCGTTTCGGCACACCTCTCACACGCTTCGTGGCCCCATAGGGAGCTCCACCGAAGGCCCCAGCGCCACCGTCCACATGCGTCCCCCACACACAGTTCTAGGGAGCTCCACCCAAGGCCCCAGCGCCACCGTCCACATGCATCCCCCACACCCGTTTCGGCACACGTCCCACACATTTCGTGGCCCCATAGGGAGCTCCACCCAAGGCCCCAGCGCCACCGTCCATTTGCGTCCCCAAAACCCATCTCGGCACATCCCATAGGGAGCTCCACTGAAGGCCCCAGTGCCACCGTTCGTGACCCCATAGGCTCCAGCCAAAACCCCGGCGCCACCGTCCACATGCGTCCCCCGCACCCATTTCAGCACATACCCCTCACACGATTCGTGGCCCCATAGAGAGCTCCACCAAAGGCCCCAGTGCCACCGTCCACATGCGTCCCCCACACCCATGTTGGCACACCCCTCACGCGTTTCGCGACCCCATGGGGAGCTCTGTGGAAGGCCCCAGCGCCACCGCCCACATGCGTCCCCCACGCCCGTTTCACTACACCCCTCACACGCTTCGTGGCCCCATAGGGAGCTCCACCGAAGGCCCCAGTGCCACCGTCCACATGCGTCCGCCGACCCCATTTCGGCACACCCTTCACAGGGTTCGTGGCCCCATAGGGAGCGCCACCGAAGAAAATATCAAATTGCGCTACGCACAACTGCATATGCCTGGATCCTTCGCCAGGTTAATTTTTCGTCGGCGGCGATGCAGAGGTACTCCGCACCAGCGAGAAGCGATTCGGGGCAACCGAAAGGCGAATTGGCCAGCATGCAAGAGCGGGGAGCAAGACAGACGAGGCGGCCGCCGAAGGGGGAGGGGCGGAGGGCATTCACATGCGGAAGAGTTCCACCCCGAGCGCGCTGTCGCAGCCAGCAGCGACCAGAGAACAAACACGAGGCGACCCACTGCTCTGAAATCAAGCACGACACGTACGACCAAGCATACAGTTGAGGCCAGCCCACAAGAAGCCTTTCATAAGAGACCCAACCCTGAGACCCCAGGACGTCAATCGATTTTTGGTGCGGGAGCGTCACGCTTTCCATGGCAAAGCCATCGAAACCCAAGAAACCCAGGGCACCCTTGAGGCAAGCAGGGTGTTTCTTGGCATGGGTCTCCACTGTAGATCACGGCTGAAAGTCCACCACACCGATCGCATGTGGCTACGCTACGCCACTCCCGATCGGCCCGAAGGCCATCCGTGCCAATCTAGACCTCGGGGGGGAAAGCGTGGCCGGTGCAACCGGCAACCGGGCGATTATACGATCGTCGTGCATGGATGCGTCACGGGCAGGCAGGAGTGGGAGCAGGAGGAGGCAACATGGAAATCGGGCCTGGGACGGGCAGAAAGCTCGCTGGGACCTAGCAAGACGCACGCCTCTGGAAAGCCAGCAGGGGGTGGCAGGGGGCGGAGAGAGACAGCGCGCTTCATGGGCGGTTGGCCAAGCAGACATCTTCGCCACTTCGAAAACCTGGAGCCACCCCAACATCCCAAGCACCACCCCCCCTGCACACATAATCCAACCTCCCCACCACCCACTCACCCCCCTTGGCGCCCGTCGTCTTCGTCGTCGTCTCGTCGTCGTCGTCGTCGTCGGCGGCGGCGGCGGCTGCGGCGGTGGCGGCGGCGGCGGTGTCGGCGTCGGACTCGATGTCGGCGTCGGCGTCGTTTGCTGGCGCCAGGCGGGGAGGGTTGAACCCCCTCCCCCCCTCCCCCTTTCGCAAAGGGGGTAAGGGGAGGGTGAACCACCCCCCCACTTGCGCGAAGCGAGGCTGGGGGGGGGAGGGAGGCTTGGACTTGCGCGAAGCGAGGCCGGGGGGGGGGGGAGGGAGCTTGGATCCCCCCCCCCGTCGAAGGGCGCGGGGGGGGCGATTTCCGGAGGTCTGGCGGGGGGGGGGGGGGCGGACGGCCCCGAGGCGAAGCTGCGCTGAAGACGGAATCAAGAGGGCACACCAGGCTCCCATGACTTCCCACCGAACCCCCCCCCAAGCGACCGCAGAACGCGCCCTTTCCAGGCGAGGGGTGCCAGCCCACCATCCAGGCATTGGGGTTGGGCCCCATTGCTCGTCCCCCTGCCCCCGCTCGTACCTCGCCTCCCTCTCGGCGCAGGGGGGCCGCTCCCGAGACCCCCGTGGCCAAGAGATAGAGATGCGAGAAGCAGTTCTTCTCGTCGGCGAGCCCAAGAGGCTCCCAAGGGGCCCCCAAAGAGGCTCCCACGGGGCCCCCAAGAGCTGCTCCCACGAGGCCCCAAAGGGGTGCTCCCACGAGGCCCCCGAGAGCGCCCTGGAAGGGCCCAGAGAAGCATCCCTGAGCACTCTGACCCACAACCCGGGCACGGTGACGGGATGGGCCGAAGACCACTAGATCCGCCGCCCCCTGTTGGCTTGCTACTTCCGCCTGAGGCCCCGCCTTCCTGTGCCCTGTCTCCCTAATTAAAGCTATGCGTAGCCCGCCTAGCTTTTAGCGGAAGAGGTTCGCTCTCGCCCCGCAGATCAAAAACTGTTGGCTTGCTACAGGAATGCCTGGCAGGCTAAACCCTATGCGGCTTGGTCTGGGTTCTTTTCCAAAAGAACTCCGCCTGGGGCTTCGGCACAGCGTGCCGGCCACCCGGAAGGCCGCACAAACGACCTCAACGTCCCGGAAGAAGTCCCCGAAAAAGTCCCCCAAGACGGCCCAAGATGGCCTCCACGACGGCCAAGATGGCCTCAAAGATCGCCCAAGATGGTCCAAGATGGCCTCCAAGACGGCCCGAGAGGGTCGCAGAGGCTTCCAAGTCTGCCCAAGAAGCCTCCAAGACGGCCCAAGATGGCACAGAAGCCCCCAAGGGGCCTCCAAGACGGCCCAAGGCCAGGAGGGCCCGAGAAGGCCAAAATGATTGATTCCCTCTGGTGTTTTAAGCATTTTGGCATTTATTTCGTTTCGGCCTTCCGATGTCCTAAGAAGTGTCAAGGAGCCCGCCGCCATGGTTCTGAATGGAATATGGTGAGAGACTGCCCCAGCAGGAGCTCGCCCATGTAAGGAAAGAGAGGGAATGAGGTCCCCTGGCCTGAGAAGAACTGCGGGAACGAGCCACCGAAGCCCGCAGCAGCACAGCCGTTCTGAAGCTCGCTGTTGCAAGCCCCAAATACCCTGGGCCAGAACGGCTAAAGGAGGAGGAGGAGGAGGAGCAGGAGGAGGAGTAGTACGAGGAGGAAGAGGAGGAGGATGAGGAGGAGGGGAAGGATGAGCGAGCGATCCCCTTGTATCACCTGAGCTGCAGAAGCGGGCAGCCGAGCAGGGAAAGAAGGCCCGCGGGAGCCGCGGTCCTGGACGCGAGTCGGTCCCCCGGCGGCCCTTGCCACCTTCTGGGTGAGCACGAGGCCGTCGACCTGCGTCCAGGTACACCGAGGCACGAACGCGAGGAGTGCGAGGGGCAGTTATGTGGCAACTCATGGGAGCCTCCTAGATCATATTACTGGATCTAATCGACGCTAAATGCACGCTCATCGACGCCAAATCGGCGCCGTCCCATCGGTTACCAGACGCCAACCGACGCTCATGCACCCGAAAGGCGGAAATGCGACGGCATACCAGGCCCCCATGATTTGCTGGAAAAGAGCTGGAACGGGCACGGGGACGAGGAGAGGCGCCGAAATGGGCTGGGAAATGCTCGCCCGCGATGAAGACCTGGGAGACGCTCGCCCGCCTCGTCGTCGTCGTCGGCGACGTCGTCGCCCAAAAATAGATGTACGCTCACGGGGCCAATCGAGGTGGCCAGGCGCACCCGCCGTGACCTTCACGGAGCTATGGACACGGCTTGGGGACAAAGACTCGAGCACATGATGTGGGATAGGGGTACGGGCTGGTGGGAAAATGTGCAGGGGCCGTTTGGGGTGCTGGGGCGGGATGTCTAGCTAGCCTCGGAGGGAAGCTGTCGCCATAGGAGCTCGGAAGATGGCTTCCCAACGTTGGATCCTCGGATGATCTCTTTATTACCTCATGCGGCTTTGACACAATCGGAGGTTGGGGGGTGAGTCCAACGTGAAACGGAGACCCCCCCTACCAGGAAATCGATTTCGGTGTCGGGTTCGTGTCGTGCGTGCCGTGCGTGCGTGCGGGCGAGGCGAAACTGCGTGGGCGGGCGAGAAGAAATCCATCTGTGACTGGGCCGCGGCCGGACCAAATGATTCTCCTCTGGCGGCCGGTGGCCCGCGGTGTCCCGCCGGTGTCCCGCTGGTGTCCCGAAATCCTCCTGTGGCTGGGCCGCGGCCGGACCAAATGATTCTCCTCCTGCGGCCGGTGGCGCGCGGTGTCCCGCCGGTGTCAGCACTTTTGCCCATTGCTGCCCCCCCCAACCTCCTTATCACCCGCAGGGTGGTCGTATAGGTATTTACGCTTATAACTATCATCAGTATCTTCATCCTGCTCCCCATTAGTGCTCTTAACATTGTCATACTCTTCTTGGTACCAGTGTTGTACTAGACTTACTCTGTCCTCCTCCTCCTCCAACTCATCCTCCTCCTCATCATCATCCTCCTCCTCATCCTCATCCTCATCCTCATCATCCTCCACATCTCTCCTCCCTTGTTCAACTTTCGTAATGGTCCGCCATATTCCACCTCATGCCCGAAATCCTCGTCATCTTCTACTTCTCCTCTATCCCTCCTTGCCTCCCTTCTCCTGCTCCTGCTCCCTGATCCCTTACCATACTGCCGTATCCTCCTCATCATGCTCCCCCTCTTCCTCCTCATCCTCAACCTCCACATCCGTCTCGTCTCTCCCATTCGTCTCTCCATCTCTCTTCCGACCTTCTTCCTAATCCATCCTCCCTCCTCCCACTCCTCCTCCTCATCATGATTTGTTGTTCCTCCCCCTCCTCCTCCTCCTCCTCGTCCTCCTCTTCCCCCTCCTCGTCATCCTCCTTCTCCTCATCCTCATCACCCTCCTTCAACGTAGTGGAGCGCCCCAAGGCTCATACAGATGTTAGTGGTCAAGGGATTGCAGGGCCCTTTAAAGCCCAGGACCACAAAGTTGGCCTCCAGAACTCCTGGGGAACTTCTTGGCGCTCCAGTCTGAACCGCTTCCAACATCCCTCAAAGTTTCTCGGTAGCCCCACGGGGCCGTCAGGCTTTATTGTAGGCCTCTTGGGCCGTCTTGGCAGCTCTGGAGGACCTAATGCCATTGAAAAAAAACTGTGCCCAACACAAAGTCTTGTCTCATTCTACAACGTTGCCGGACATTCGAAAGAAAAAACAAAAAAAAAAAAAAAAATGGCACCCAACACCCGGAGTTTCAGATAGCACTGACGAAACCCCAACTCACTTAGCCTACGCAGGTCAGACAGCACGTGCATGCTACACGAGGACAGCCCAACAGGACAGAAGGGCGGAACGTCAGGTAGCACCATCGCAAAGTCGATCAGGCAGACGAGAGGAGCGAGGGCCCGGGCGCAGACCCAGCCTCCTGCTGGCACCCAGAGGGCGCCACAGGAATCCAGCTTCTCGCAGCCTCCCCACCACAAGCCCCCAGATGGGCAACTTCCCGGAGGGCAGGACGAGGGAAGCTGGGTGGCAGGGAACCGCCCCAGGCAGATAGCACACCCATCCCAAGACGTGTTGGAAGGGGGCCAGGCAGATAGCACAGCGAAGAGGGCTGCGTCAACGCGGGCCAGGCAGATGTCATACCTCACGGATCGCTCATGCAACTGGTATCTGATTTGTTCACATTGCTTGATACTCGATACTCCTTCTTCTGTTTTTCCTCCTCCTCCTCCTCATTCTCCTGCTCCTCCTGCGGAATACTGTCATAATCACCACTACCACCATATTCAACATCAACGCCTGCACCCTTATCGTCATCATCGTCATCAACATCACAACGACCATCACCATCAGTATAACAACCAAAATCATAATCGTCTTCATAATCATCACTATCGGTATCATCATCAGCAGCAGCATCATCACCATCATCATCAACAACAATCATCATACTAATCATCAGCATCATCAGCAGCAGCAGCATCATCAGCATCATCATCAACAGCAACAGCATCAGTCATCATCACCATCATCATCAGCAGCAGCAGCATCAGTATAAGCATCAGCATCATCAGCATCGTCATCATTATCAGCATCATCATCATCATCATCATCATCATCATCATCATCATCATCATCATCATCATCATCATCATCATCATCATCACATCATCCTCATCATCGTCATCAGAATTACCATCATCATCATAATCATCATCATCATCATCATCATCATCATCATCATCATCATCATCATCATCAGCATCAGCAGAAGCAGAATCATCATCATAATTATCCTCATCAGCAGCAGCGTCAGCATGACCATCATCATCAGCAGAATCAGCAGCATCGTCACCATCAGAATCGTCATCATAATCAGCTCATCATCATCCTGATCATCAGCATCATCATCATCAGCATCATCATCCTCATGCTCATCAGCATAAATACCCTCATCATCATCATCATCATCAGCACCATCATCATCATCGACATCGTCGTCACCAACATCATCATGATCATCATCAGCAGCAGCAGCAGCAGTAGCAACACCATCATCACCAGCATCATCATCATCATCATCATCATCATCATCATCATCATCATCATCATCATCATCATCATCATCATCATCAGTACCATCATCACCATCATTATTATCACCACGATCATCATCATCATCATCATCATCATCATCCTCCTCCTCCTCCTCCTCGTCGTCGTCCTGCGGGTCCCTCTGGCCTCCTGGGGCCCTCAGCCTTACCTCCCGGAGCCCTGCTTCCCTTCCCCAGTCCCCCTCCTCCCCTGCAGGGCAGAGGGGGGATCTGCCCAGCGGAGGCGGGAGTCACAAGCAGGCTCCGTCGGGCAGAGCGCGAGCAGGTGCAGAGGCGGAGGGGCGCGACCAGCCGGACGAAGGACAGGAAGCGCCCCAGGCGTTAGAGGAGGCCCGCCCGCACTCGTGCGCAGCGATGCCGTACCAGCGCACGTCCGCCCGCTGACCAGATCGCATCCGCCCTCCTCCGCCCTCCTCCGCCCCCTCCGCCCTCCTTCGCCCTCCTCCGCCCTCCTCCGCCCTCCCCCTCCCTCCTCCGCCCTCCTCCAACTGAGGCCACCTGCCGTTTAGATTGGGCGCGACAGCGTTGACACCAGCGACCGGCGACGAAGCGGCACGAGACAACAAAGGGGTGAACCTCCATCCCACGACCCGCGCTCAGCGCATTACTCTCCCTCTCGTCGGGCGCAGCGGGGATGACCAGCTCCGTGTCATCAGCAGTCGCCCCAAGCTTCTTGACCAACCGAATGTTGTTCAGATCCACGTTGGTGGCCGTCAACGGATCGATCACCTTCGTGCAAGACCCTCCTATCCTCTCCCTGCTCATCATACTATGTCTGCGTCTACGATTACTACGTACTCTACAACCACTACTCCTTTTAGGGAACGGTCTGGTTGGGCCCATATAGTTTTCGAAGACCCCATTCATCTAGCACGTTTCATTGTAGATTCAATCGTGCTATGTTCCCTTCGCGGTGGCTATGTGTCGAGTATCTTCCCTGTCGACTTGGCGTTCTGAAGAGAGATGGAAGGAGGGAGGGGGAGACAAATAGGTAATTTGGTCGCCCATGTTTCACCTCCTCCAAAGGACTCGCCCTCCTCATTCCTCCTCCTCCCCATCCTCCTACTCCTCCTCCTCCTCCTCCTCCTCCCTCCTCCTCCCTCCTCCTCCTCCTCCTCCTCCTCCTCCTCCTCCCTCCTCCTCCTCCTCCTCCTCCTCCTCCTCCTCCTCCTCCTCCTCCTTGATCGTTTCTCCTCCTGGCAGCGAGTTTCTCGCCGTGGGGCACACGTGTGCCGGCACACCCCAGCCTGCTCGTGCTGGGCGGCAGCCCGAACGGTTGGGCGTGCTCCTGTTCGACGACTGCGCCGCCAGCCTCGATCGCCCCCTGGGCTTCACGAGCGCGACTGGGGTTAAGTCCGGCGTGTCCCCCTACAGGGGTGTTTTCGACGAAAAATTAAAAATACCCCAAGAATGCCCAAAAAATGTCAAAAATACTCAAAACTTAGTCCCCAGACTATTTTTGGACTATCTTTAAATTATTTTTGGATATTTTTTGTTTTTCGTCCAAAATCCCCCTGTAGGGGGACAGGCCCGACTTAAGACTGGGGCCAGGGAGGCGCTGTGGTCGATGATCCTCAGAACGCGTGTCAGCGCCAATGTGTGCTTGCCCACCGAGGCCCTTCACTGCGACGAATGCGAGGTGATGATCGGCTGGCTGGGTTGAACGGGGTAAACACACACTATGGCAAAGTGCACTCAGCGCGTCCTCTGTCCACACCCGCCGGGGTGGAGCAACGCTCGTGGACATGTCGCGGGGGCTCCCCGGCCACCACCGTGTCAATGTTGACCTGCACTGTCAATGCCTCGCTCTCCTGAGGCTTTGCCGTGTTCCTGCTCGTCAACCTGCGTCACGTGTGCGGAGCTACACTGTCAATGCCGCGCTGTCCTGCGGCTCCGCTGCGCTCCTGCTCGCAGCGCACACCGCCAGAGGCGGCGGAGAGCTTGAGAGATCCATCCACAAAAAGTCCCGAGGATCATCGCTGTGGGCCGATGGCGCAGTTTGGAGGGGGCTGGGAGACCCAACCAACAGCTTCGCCTTAGGCGAAGCCAAGCTCCCGCTCTGTTGTACCGTAGTGACGATAGTCCCAGTAGTAGGGGGCGGGCCATCTGAAGCAGTAGTTTGGTATCGATGGCAAATAGTACACCTCGCGCTGAGGTGTAGTCAGATGTGGGCCGATGGCGCCGCCACCGCCGTCGGAGCCCTCCCCGTCGGCGACCTCGCGTGCGCACGACGGCTCCTGGCGGGGTGCCCGCGGGAGCCTGCCGCGGGGGCCTCGTGCTCTCTGCCGCGGCCCCGCGGCCCGAGGCCCCCGCGGCCGCGGAGCTCACGGGCGCATCGCCCGGCCCCCTCCTCCTCCTCCTCCTCCTTCTCCTCCCTCCCTCCCTCCCTGCCTCCCTCCCTCCCTCCCTCCCTCCCTCCTCCTCCTCCTCCTCCTCCTCCTCCTCCTCCTCCTCCTCCTCCTCTCCTCCCTCCTCCCCCTCCTCCTCCTCCTCCTCCTCCTCCTCCCTCCTCCTCCTCCTCCTCCTCCTCCTCCTCCTCCTCCTCCTCCTCCTCCTCCTCCTCCTCCTCCTCCTCCTCCTCCTCCTGCGAGGGGCTGAAGCAGCGCAGGACGGCTGCGGGCCCCGCTTTCCTGGAGGGGGCTTTTTCAGGTATGTGAGCCCGTCCTGTTCCCAGCCGCCCCTCGGCTCTCCGCTCGCTCCCTCGCTCGCAGCCGCTCTCCCGGCCCTTGCCATTGGGCCGTGGCTTCCTTTTGACTCTTCCACAGGTATTGCCTCACGCGAAGGGAAAGTCCTCCTTCTTGAGACTCTCTCTCTCTCTCTGCCTATATCTCTCTCTACCCTCTTAAAGAATTAATGTACGACCCCCCTGCACCTACATCAGCATCTCCGTCACCATCTGCATCAACATAATCGTCATAAGTGATATGTAAATACGCAGGGACGGGAACAGGGAGGCAGCGACGATGGCACTAACAGGTTAACACTAACACCATAGCCCAAACCCGATCACCATAACCAAAGCCGACAACCGAACCCCAACACTCTAACCCCATGAACCGATCCAAAACACATTCCGCCTTTTTTCGTGCACGGGGGGGGCTCCCCCCTTCGCCCCCCTCGCCATTGTGTTGTTGGATATCGCTCTATCCATCATCATCATCATCATCATCATCATCATCATCATCATCATCATCACCACCACCACCACCACCACCACCACCACTACCACCATCATTATCATAATCATCAGCAGCAGCAGCAGCATAAGCATCATTATCATCAGCAGCATCAGCAGCATCAGCAGCAGCATCATCATCATCATCATCATCATCATCATCATCATCATCATCTTCTTCATCATCATCATCATCGTCATCATCGTCAACATCATCATCATCAGCATCATCATTACCATCACCATCATCATCATCATCATCATCATCATCATCATCATCATCATCATCATCATCATCATCATCATCATCATCATCACCGTCATCAGCAACATCAGCAGCATCATCATGGTCATCATGACAATGATGATCAGCATCATCATCAGCAGCATCATCACTACCATCATCATCACGATGATCGTCACCATCATCATCATCAGCAGCAGCAGCAGCATCGTCATCATCATCATCATCAGCATCAGCATCATCATCATCATCAGCAGCATCATCATCGTCATCGTCATCGTCATCATCATCATCATCATCATCATCATCATCATCATCATCATCATCATCATCATCATCATCATCATCATCATCGTATTCAAATTCAGTATCCTCATCATGATCATCATTGATCATCACTATCATCAGCATCATCAGCATCATCATCATAATCAACATCATCATCATCATCATCATCACCATCATCATCACATCAGTATCACCATCATCATCACTCTCATCGTCATCCTCAGCATCATCATCATAATCATCATCATCATCGTCTAATCATCTGCATCATCATCGACGACATCATAGTCATCAGCATCATCATCAATATCATCATCAGCAGCATCATCACCATCACCATCACCATCACCATCACCATCACCATCATCAGTATCATCATCACCATCATCATCACCATCATCACCACCACCACCATCGTCATCATCATCATCAGCATCATCATCATTATCATCATCGTCGTCATCGTAATCATCATCATCACCGTCATCATCATCATCGTCGTTATCATCATCGGCATCATCATCATCATTACAATGACCATCATCATCATCACTATCACCATCATCCTCATATTCATCATCATCATCATTATCAGTATCATCATCGTCATCGTCATCCTCAGCATATCAGCAGGTCCATCATCATTAGCATCAGTATCGACGACATCATAGTCATCATCATCATCAGCATCATTAGCATCATCATCACCACAATCATCACCATCGTCATCAGCAGCATCATCATCACCATCCTTAGCATCACCATCATTATCACCGTCGTCGTCGTCGTCCGTCTCCGTGTCACCATTTTCATCGTCCACCGCCTTCGCTTCCTTGCTCGCGCCCTCCTCCTGGCATCCTCCACACCACCGCACGCGCCATTATGCTCCCTTGTTGCATCATCCCGGATCGGAACAGCTCGGGGCGCCCTCCACAGAGGTCCCAGCGCAGCAATAACTCTCAAAGGATACACCGTCAAAGCAAAGCGGATGCGTGTTATAGCCATGGCGCGACCAAGAGGAACGCCGAGCAGGGAAAGAAGGAGCTTCCATGGCCACGGCGAGCCTCGACCACAAGTAGGCTGCCCGACTTATGTCAGATCATGAGCGGCGAGCATATCCACATCCACACCCTCGCGGTCTGGATTCCAGGGCGCGATCCCGAAGATGCGCGGTCGCGTGGATACGTTCCGCGCGGGGCATCCGCGCAAAAACTCCCCGTGTCCATGGGATCGCGGTCCAGGGGCCCAGCCCGCCGGGCCGTGGATGTGGATATGTTTCCCTCCCACGATCAAAGGCACGGCCATAAAACCGGAGTCCCACCCGAGCCCACAGCGGTTCTTCTCTCAGCGCCTTCCCTGCACTCCCCCATCACGGCCCCTCCTCTTCCCGAAGCTGCTCCTCCAGCTCTGGCACCACGCAGAGGACCACGGCGCGTCTGCACTGCCCTGGGAGGAGGCCAAGGCCCTCCGCCGCCTCGGGCAGCCCGGGCGTCTCTCTCGAAGCCCTTAAGCAGCCCACAAAAAAGACGTCCGCGCCCGACCGTGTGCATGAACACGGCTCCCCAATCCGCGACACCGGCCGCCTGATACGAGCGCTCGAGCAACGCATGCTCTCGAAACCAACGCGGATTCATGCACGCGTACGTCCTTTTTTCGCTCCCGATTCCTTCTTCGGCGCCTCCAGAACTCCAAAGCGTCAACCGGCCACCTCACCGGCCCTGCCCGGGCCCGCACGGGGCCCAGGGATCGGTACGCACGCGCCCGTGGCTACGCTCCAGGAGGGTCCGCGCACCGAGCCCGGGGCCCAGGAGGGGCCCGGCCAGGGCCAGCCGACGCCACCCGACCAGAGGGCAGGGCGAGGCGAGGCGAGGCGAGGCGAGGCGCCGGTCAGTCGTCCCGGCGGGGACGGCCCTACGAGAGCCCGGCAGGGGGCGCGGGAGCGCCGAGGAAGAACCTTGGTCGAGGGGGAAGGAGGGGGGAGGAAGGACTCAGACCGTCAAGTGGGAGCTTCGCACACCATCCCCACAAGTGACAGAAGCCAGAAATTTCGGCTCCAACGCCGAGCAGAGGGCAGGGCAGGCAGATGCAGACTGCCATGCCGCTGGTCAAGGACAGGGACGCGACTCGGACAACGCACGACAAGGACAGGGACGAGGACACGGCCAGGACCTCCCCCACAGGGACAACGACACGACCCGGGGACGCACTGACCCAGGTCCACGCAAACCCGGGTCACTCGGGCCCTGCAGGATGCTGCACCATCCTGCAGGATCCTGCAGGATCCTGCACCCAAACCCGGGGCAATGCGGCCCTGGCTCTGCGGGATCCTGCAGGATCTGGCGCTCTGGCTGACCCCCGTTTGCATTGACCCCCGTCCCAAGGCTCCCCACCGACGGCGGGACCACCTCCTCCCGGGGGAGGCCGCCGCCGGGGGTCCCGAGGGAGGTCCCCGCCTGCGGGGGGGGGGGTCGTCGCGTCCCGGGGCAGACTGCCGCCCCCGCCCACCCTGGGGGTGGGGGGCCCGGCGGGTCGCGGGGGCAGCAGCAGCGGGGGGCCTGGGGGAGGTCCCGCCACCAGGGTCGGCAGCACCCGCCGTAACGGCTTCACAACGAGACTGCCATCCCGCCAGTCTTGATCCTGGCGGCCTGCTCGATCTAAGCTCAAACGTCCATCGCTCCGCTGCCAGTCCTGCAAGCGATCCGCGTTCGCGCAGCCGAGACCTTGAACCCAAAAAGAAGTCCGTGTTCGCAGAAGCCCGTCCCTGGATCCATCCCTTCCTTGGACGTCTCTCCATCCTCACAGAAGCCGCCAACGAACCAACCAGTCATCCAACTGGTCAACCAGCCAGCGAGCCAGCCAGACATCCACAACCTGACAACCAGCCAAAGAGCCAAGCGTCGAACCTGCAAATCAATCCGCCAGTCACCCAACCAACCACGTTCGCTATCCCAACAATGAAGAGAGGGTGGCCAGCTACAAGGGAAGTTATATACTCCATACGTATAAAGATGTGAAGGGCCTTGCAATTGTGGGAAGGACAGGACCCCGTGAAGCACAACAAGGCAAGGCAAGGTGTCAATGTAGACTTGCAGAATCACTCTGGTATGGTTCTTGATTTTGACTAGACAGCAGGAACCCTGAACGCCGAGCCACACAGCAGGTGTACGACCGCAGCCCGGGGTCTTGTCGCCCGCCGCGCGGCCCCGCGGCCTAAAACAGCACGGGACCCAAGCGGCAATGACAAACGGCCAAACATGATCCTCGCTTCCCAATCATCCAGCATTGTGCACCCGGCCCCTCCGTACTGTGCACAATCCACTCCGCAAGCCTTCAGATGACTAGACGCGTGCTAGAAGCCATGTGTACTGGTGCTTAAAAGAAGGGCCAGACCAATTCAGAAAAATCTTCGCGCTGAAATGCGACACGTCATGGCAGGCATGCTTTCCGCAATTGTATGGCTGGCCACCCTGGCCTTCAAGACTGCGTCGACGGCGATCGAGGCGAGGCTGCCTGACTCCGATGAGACAACCTCAGCGCGGCCAAGGCTGGCAAATCCAGCGGAAGGGGCGGCAATGGCAGCGGTCATGGCGTCCAAGCCTCTGGCAACAGTTTCCCGCAAATCCGCCGGCCCCCTTTGTGGGGCCATCAGGCTGCGGAGATCAGGCTTGCTGCTCCTTGCTTCAGTTTTATGTGCAAGTCTCCCATGTCGAAGTCCTACGTTATACTTCCTACTGTCAGTTGTTAAAGTCCGCGCGAGGGGAGGGGGGGGCCAAACCGGCTGTTACCACGCCCAAATCGCGTTGCTTGAATTATTGCGGGGCCGTGGGACACGTTAATTATTCACTGCGTGGAGTTCCCCATATGCACAGCTACTTGCATGGACCCCCCAGAGGTACCCGAGAGCGCCCTGGAGAGACCCCGGAAGCATCCCTGAGGACTCTGATCAACGTCAGCATCGTCATCGCCGTGGTCGTCATTCAGGGTCGGCGGTACCGGCCGTAAGGCCTCTCCAATATAAACGGGCCCGAGTATTGGCAGACTGGGAAAGAATCTAACTTCGAATGAGTTGGAACGTGAATGAGTCTCAATAATACGAGTGAGTCTATGCGCCTGAGTCGGAATATGTCTAAGTGTTTACAATGACTGCATCTGCACGTCAGTGGCCTGAGCATGACTGAGCGTGACTGAGTCGACATGACTACGCGATCCCTCCCTCCATGATGAAACAAGTATTAGGAATGATCATGCAAACGCCGTGCGAAACCCTTTGCACTTCGTTAGCTGGCCCGGAAGATCTCAAGCAGTGGCTGGACCGTGCAGCCAGCCACGCCACGAGGAGGAGTGGCCCAATATATAGAAACATACACAAAACTAACCTGCCGAAGAACCCAACCAGATGCACTTGTGAGTACCGCAGTTGTGGGTATCGTCTTCCGTGGAGCTCCCGATGGGCCACGAAACGCTGTGCTGGGTGCCAAAATAGGGCGGCGCTGCCATGCAGACTGCGCCGCTGGGACCTTAGGTGCCTATGGGGCCACGAAACGTGTGAGGGGTGTGCCAAAATGGGGCGGCGCCGCCATGCGGACTGCGCCATTGGGACCTTAGGTGGAGCTCCCTATGGGGCCACGAAACGTGTGAGGATTGTGTCAAAATCGGGCGGCACCACCATGCGGACTGCGCCACTGGGACCTTAGGTGGAGCTCCATATAGGGCCACGAAACGTGCGAGGCGTGTGCCAAAATGAGGCGGCGCCGCCATGCGGACTGCGCCACTGGGACCTTAGGTGGAGCTCCGCATGGGGCCACGAAACGTGTGAGGGTTATGCCAAAAAAGGGCGGCGCCAGCATGCGGACTGTGCCACTGAGACCTTAGGTGGAGCTCCCTATGGGGTCACGAAACGGGTGAGGGGTGTGCCGACATGGGGTGGCGCCGCCATTCGGACTGCGCCACTGGGACCTTAGGTGGAGCTGCCTATGGGGCTACGAAACGTGTGAGGGGTGTACCAAAAATGGGGCGGCGCCGCCATGTGGACTGTGCCACTGGGACCTGAAGTGGAAACCCGTATAGGGCCACGAAACGTGCGAGGGGTGTGCCAAAATCGGGCGGCACCGCCGTGCCGACTGCGCCATTGGGACCTTAGGTGGACCTCCCTATGGGGCCACGAAACATGTGAGGAGTGTGCCAAAACGGGGCGGCGCCGCCATGCGGACTGCGCCGCTGGGACCTTGCGTGGAGCTCCCTATGGGGCCACGAAACGTGTGAGGGGTGTGCCAAAATGGGGCGGCGCCGCCATGCGGACTGCGGCACTGGGACCTTAGGTGGAGCTCCTTATGGGGCCATGAAACGTGCGAAGGAAGGGGCATGAATGGGAGGAGGGAGGAGGGAGAGGAGGAGAGGAGGAGGACGCGGGGACGGTCTCTTCAAAACGAGGACCCAACACCACAGGATGATTGGAAAAAAAACTTCGGGCTGGAGTCACAGGAGAGGGGCAACTTATAGGAAGAAAAATAAAACAAAAATAATTCGTGGCCTAGGAGATGCCCAAGATATAGGAGCATACAAAAAAAACACCTAGGACTGGAGCCACAGGAGAGGGGCAACATATAGGAACATACGTGAACACACAGAAAAATCGTGCCCCAGGAAAAGCCCAATCTAAAGGAACATACGGAAAACACCTCGGATTGGAGCCACAGGAGAAGGGCAATATATAGGAAAAAACGCAAATACAAAGGACTCGTGCCCTGGGAGAAGCCCAATCGATAGGAACATACGTGAAACTCCCAGGACTCGGGCCATTCTGGTAGCCCCCTGGGGCGTCCTGGAGCCTCTTTTTCTTGGTCTAAAAGACGGACGGCCCGCAGCATCGCCATGCCAGGCCAGTCGGAAGGTCGCCATGGGCACCGCTGGGCGTGCCTCCACGACGGACAGACTTAGGTGTGCCTCCACGCGCGGCGCGCGACTCTGCATGCAGTGCGGCAATCCGCACAGCTCCCGCGGCTCATGCCTGTACGAGCGAAGAGCCCACACAATAGCTCAGGCACATACGCAGCGCCAGAGGTTGCCTCACAAACGGCGCAGAAGCTTATGCTGATGTTCATTGGTCCTCTGCTGCACAAGACCAGGCCGAACGCCAAGAGCATTGTCGGCGTCGGCGCCAGACGAATCCAGATGTCCTCCAGCCTCGAGACGGATGTGTCTCTTCCTCCTCCTCCTCCTCCTCCTCCTCCTCCTCCTCCTCCTCCTCCTCCTCCTCCTCCTACTCATCCTCCTCCTTCTCCCCCTCCCCCTCCCCCTCCACCCTCGGCCCTCGTCCGCGCCTCCCGGATCCCTCCTCCATCCGCGGGCCCCTGCTCGCCCCACGGTGCCAAGATGGCAATGCCTCGTTGCAAATCCGTGCCCAGCAGTACCGTGGCGGCCACGGCTAGCCAATGGTCGCATGCACGAGTGGCTCTCACGCCAAGTCGATGCATTCTGGAAAAACTTGTACTGGAGCTCGGGGCAGTCAGCGGAGATGGCTGGAATTGCACGAGAGGTCTGGTTTCCTGATACAGTGGACCGCCGTTGGGCCCGCAAATTGAAGACAATCCACGCACGGCCCTAGTCGGCGGTGTGCGCGGAACGGGAAAGCGTGCCATGCACGCGCATGCGGCGGAAACTACGAGCGACCCGACGGACCGACGACCGCGAAAAGGGCCTGGAGTGTGGAGAAAGGCAAAAGGAAGGAAGCCTGCAAACGGAACTGTGCAGAAGACACGTGTGCGAGAACGGGTGTTTTCATGCATGATCCCGCGCGCAACAACAAAAAATCAAAGCATGGTTCCCACGGAAGGGCGTGCACCCAGCTACCTGGGAGGGCGTGCGCCCAGCTACCTACGATCGAGAGACATGCCGCGGAACACTTCCGCACGAACACCCGGTGCAACAGCTCGGTGTCTTCCTAGCGCACCCAAGGCGGTCTGTATGTCGACGCTGGGTGCTGCGAAGCGCCGCTTCGGCTGCATCTGGCCGAAAAGCTGCAAAATCCAGCATTTTAAAAAAAGGAGGAGAGAGAGAGAGAGAGAGAGAGAGAGAGAGAGCGAGAGAGGGATGGAGAGAGGGAGGGAGAGAAATAAACAGAGAGAGAGAGAGGGAGACAGAGAGAGAGCGAGAGGAAGGGGGAGGGAGAGGAAGGGAGGAGATCGGATCAGGTCGGAACGCTGGCTCCGACTGGGGAGAGCGCGGGCGCTGGAGGCCCGCGAGGCAGGTCGCGCGGTCGACAGCCAGCATGCGGGCTGGGAGATCCTCGGGGCACACCTCGAGGAGGCGATGCTGGCCTGGCAAGGCTGGCCACAGACAATAAGCCAAAGGGCGCACCCTGGTGAAGCGCTGGAGGCATATGACAAGGTCGCGCGGTCGACAGCCAGCAGGCGGGCTGGGAGATCCTCGGGGCATACCTCGAGGAGGCGATGCTGGCCTGGCGAGGTTGGCCAAAGACCATGAGCTGAAGGTCGCACCCTGGTGAAAGGCCTGCCTCCACCAGATCTCGCCCCGTCCTGCCTGCTGGAGACGGAACAGTCGGCAGGATCCCGCGACGGATCGGCGCGCCCTGCCTCGAAGTTCTCGGGCGATATCCCCCTAGAAACGCGGATCCTCACACCCGGAACCCTCTCGGCCCCGTCGAGAGAATGGGCCGGAAACGAAATTTCACGGGGCAGCAACGCGGACTTCTCTTTTGTAGCGGACGCCTCCAGCTTCTCGACGTAGTCCTCGAAAAACTCACGTGGGATGACGTTTTCTTTGCTACGGTTCAAACCTCTTGACATCATATGACCAACATCTTCCCTTGCTGAGCTGCTAGGACCGACGTACCACCCACAGTCCCACAACGATATCGGCCATGCGGCGACTGTCCGCTGCGACTGTGGAATTTCCTTCGAACGCCTTGACGCTCGCCGTGCACCAATGCGCCTTGTCCGAGATTGGCTCCGAATTGCCATCCTCATAAATGCACATGTCCTGAAAGCCCCTGGCAACCACTCGCGCCCACTGCTCCAAGCGGGAAAAGCCGGGCCTCTGAGAGGTCCCCGAATTGTACTCGACCTGCTCGTCATGGTAAATGCACTCTGGGGCAACGAGGACGAAGCATTTGACCATGGAGGCGTAGACGCCAAGTCAACTGGTGGAAATCTTCTTGAGATACGAACTTCCCTGGGAAATGGGCACGGAATCAACCCAGAGAAAGAGGTCGGTCTCAGCTAAAGCATGTCTTGCGCAGGCGATGCCCAAGGCGGAGGACATGGCTGCGAAATGAACGCCATCTGGGCGTCAGCCACTGGTGCGAAAAGAACACGGCGGCGCATGTGCCAATCCGAACTAGCATCTCCTCGTAGGCGTCAAGGCCGAAGAGCTCCCCTCGCTCTCTGCGAACATCATGCCAGGTAGGCTTTCCGCGAAGTCTGAGCCGACGCGCACGCTTTCTCAATGCGCTCATGGGTAAAATCGTGGCATCGTTGTTGCACTCCCGTCTTCTCGATCCAACTCCGTCTC